CCTTACTGTCCGGGGAACAGGAAGCTGTGTCCCAGAGCTCATGGCTGCTGCCCCCCTACCCTCCCAAAATGGCTCCCTTGGTTTGTGCACTGCTGATAGCAAGATGCTTCCCTCAGGGCTGGGTGCCTGGCTAAGAGCTTCTGCTTCCCAGATGCCCAGCTCTGAAGATAGCAGAACAAAAATAAGAGTGGCTAACTTACCCCTAGTTGACCTCCCGGCAACTCCGTTTTGGGTCAGGACCCCCCAATTTGAGAAACACTGGTCTCCCCTGTGAAATCTGTGTACTTTCGGGTAAAACCATACAAAAGACCAAATTTTAGAGGAAGATCAGATTTCACGCTGTGTTGTGTTTTTCATGGCCATGAATTTGGTAGGCCTCTACTTATATGGTTTTCACCATCATGGGCAGTTCTAGAGTTGCCTCAGTGTTTCCAGTCCCAAAGTTTGACTGGCTAAATGGCGATAATTCCTGCTCAGTCACACAATAGCAGAGGTGAGGCGAAGTCTCCTTGAACTTGATTTCCTGCCCATCCTTCTTCCACCCCCCACACAGGGTTCAGCACAGTCAAGCCCTATAGCTCCTCCTCTTCACTTGCAGGTCTCATTGTATCCAAAGGTATTTCAGGAGCCTGTCATTGGCTGTTTGCCATACTTAAGCTGCATTTGAATTATGTGAGCATAGAAATGTCCCTCCGAAGTGTCCACTTGTATTGTCTTTTTGCACACATTAAATCCGTAAATGCCCAGTGAAATGTGATTAAAGAAAGACTCGCTCATGAGATGAGACTTTAAGCTAGAGTGAATTTTTACGATCGAGTTATAAAACCCTAAATATAGGTTTCAAATGGGAAGCTTGACGCAGCCTTAACTGAATCAGAGTGAAGGCACTGCTGGAACATTATACAACACACAACAATTTTCAAAGCAGTTCTGAGGATTTAGCCACACATCTTCTACTGATTTTAACAGCTAAATCTCCTGCACTGCTTTGAAAAACAGCCTAGATTTAGCTACATCTACAACATCAGCATTCTCATAGCCCATGATCATCTAGTCCAGAAGTTGCCAAACTGTGGGACGTGTCCCCTGAGGGTCATAAAGGAACATTTTGGGGGAGGGGCGGGCAGCCAGCCAGGTCAGTCCCCATAGGGGGAAGGGAAGGAGCACTATCCAGCCACAACCCACCCCCTGCTTTGCTCCAGCACTGCCTCCAGCCATGATTCTGGCTCTGACTCTTGGCCCTTTGCCTCCCTGACCCTGTCCCTTGCCTCAGTGCTGCTCCATACCAAGGGCCTGGCTGCTGGCCCCTACTGCAGCTCTGCTCCCACTACCACCCACAGCATCGGCCTCTGGCCCCAGCTCCATCCTCAGGCCTCTTACCCTTTCCATATTTTCCCCATCCCAAGCTGCAGTTCTGATCCCGGCCCTGGCTCTGTAGGAAGTGAGGGACTCAGACAAGGGGAAGGAGGTGTGACCCTCAAAAGTCTTGGGACTGCTGATTTAGTTTTACCTCACCCACCTCTTCCATAGTAGGCCTATAATCTTCAGTTAAATTACTGAAGTCCTCAAATCTTGGGCTATGTCTACATTGGCAAGATTTTGTGCAAATACTTTGAATGCAAGAGTTTTTGCGTTAAAGTATTTGCACAAGAGAGCGTCTACACTGGCATTTGCTTTTGCGCAAGAGATGTGCTTTTGTGCAAAAGCATCCGTGCCAGTGTAGCTGCTTTCTTGCGCAAGACAGCTCCAATGGCCATTTTAGCCATCGGGCTTTCTTGCGCAAGCAATTCATGTTGCCTGTCTACACTGGCCTCTTGCGCAAGAATACTTGTGCAAGAGGACTTATTCCTGACCGGGAGTGTCATAGTTCTTGCGCAAGCAGCACTGATTTCTTACATTACAACATCAGTGTTCTTGCGCAAGAACTCGCGGCCAGTATAGATAGACGGCAAGTTTTTGCACAAAAGCAAATGCTTTTGCGCAAAATCTTGCCAATGTAGATGTAGCCTCTATGTAAAGATGTCATGTTGCAGAGAATCCATGTTTACTCTAGTTTAAACCAGCACTTGCTGTGTGCCCCACATCAGAGAGGAAGGCAAATACTCCCCAGGGTCTCTACTAATGTGACCTGGGGGAATTGTCCTTTCTGAACCCAAATATAGCAATCAATTAGACCCTGAGCTTGTAGGTAAGACCCACCAACCAGCCACTTAGGGTGAGTCTACATAGCACCATAATTCTAAATAAGATACGCAATTTGAGCTATGCAAATTGCGTATCTTATTTCAATGCTATTTTTAAATAGTTTATTTCATCATTTGGCACTGTCTACACAGCGCCAAATTTCAAAATAAAGAGCCATTCCGAAACAGCCCTTACTCCTCGTAGAGGGAGGTTTACAGGGACGTTGGAATAGTGAGCCAGAAATAATGGGCTTGCTGTGAAGACACAGGATAGCTATTTTGGGATACTCCGGTATCCTGAAAAAGCATTGCTGTGTGGCCATAGCCCTAGGAAAGAATGTTCTATAACTGACAACCCTCCTCATCTTGGTTCTGTTCAGAACTCATAGTGATGAGTATTATTAGTATCACATCTTAGTGTAGCTTTAATTTTTATTTCATTTATTATCCACACAGAAACTACAAAAACACAGAAGAAAAATGCAAAAAGCTGCACGTTATGCCATGTTAAATTTGAAAAGATAAAAAACCCACAAAAAGTGTATGCAAAGCTTGTGTTTCTAAAAGTAACATGAACTCAGCTCAACTGGCCATCATATATGTTTGTGGTATTGAGTTTGACATTAACATAAATATATCAGCCAGAATAAACAAGAATGGAGCTTATTACACATATACTAGATGGCCAAATGACTGTTGCTGTTGGGACTTTAACTTTTGCAGTAGTTTTTGTGGATTTAATTGTGAAATATTCTTATTTATTTGTTCATGTAGCTCTCTAGCTGTGCATGGCATTTCACAGAACAAATAGTGGCTTACTCTTTGCTCATAAGAGTACAGCACAGTCTCTAGCCCTATAGCTCCTCCTCTAGGAGGAGGACTCAGTTGGCAAACACTTACTGCTGACTGTAATGCTTCCTATTATGCAGCATCCCTGTGATGTCATTGACCTCTTTTGGGCTCCTCATGGACACAGTAGCCAGAACAACAGGAGGTGAGCAGGAGAAAGATGAACGCAACTAGAATACTCAAGGCACTGATAGAGGCGTTATCTGAGCCTTTAGCTATCATCACTGAAAAATCATGGAAGTTGGGAGAGATTCCAAAAGACTGGAAAAGGGCAAATATAGTGCCCATCTATAAAAAGGGAAATAAGAACAACCCAGGAAACTACAGACCAGTCAGTTTAACTTCTGTGCCAGGAAAGATAATGGAACAAGTAATTAAGGAATTAATCTGCAAACATCTGGAAGATAAGGTGATAGGTAATAGCCAGCATGGATTTGTAAAGAACAAATCACCTCAAAACACTCTGATAGCTTTTTTTGATAGGATATCAAGCCTTGTGGTTAAGGGAGAAGCAGGGGATGTGGTGTACCTAGTCTTTAGTAAGGCATTTGACATGGTATTGCATGACCTTCTTATCAATAAACTAGGGACATACAACCTAGATGGGGCTACTATATGGTGGATACATTACTGGCTGGATAACTGTTCTCAGAGAGTAGTTATTAATGAACCATTCACAATAATGCTGGAAGGTCATAACAAGTGGGGCTCCACCAGGGTCTGTTTTGGGACCAGCTCTGTTCAATATCTTCATCAACGATTTAGATGATCGCATAGAGAGTACGCTTATTAAGTGTGCAGATGATACTAAGCCGGGAGAGGCTGCACGTGCTTCGGAGGACAGGGCCATAATTCAAAATGATCTGGACAAATTGGAGAAATGGTCTGAGATAAATAGGATGAAGTTTAATAAGGACAAATGCAAAGTACTCCGCTTAGGAAGGAACAATCAGTTTCACACATACAGAATGGGAAGCGATTGTCTAGGAAGGAGTACTGCAGAAAAGGATCTAAGGGTCATAGTGGACCACAAGCTAAATATGAGTCAACAGTGTGACACTGTTGCAAAAAAAGCAAACATGATTCTGTGATGCATTAACAGGAGTGTTGTGAGCAAGACCCAAGAAGTCATTCTTCTGCTCTACTGTGTGGTGATTAGGCCTCAATTGGAATATTGTGTCCAGTGCTGGGCACCACATTTCAAGAAAGACGTGGAGAAATTGGAGAAGACCTAGAGAAGAGCAACAAAAATTATTAAAGGTCTAGAGAACATGAGCTATGAGGGAAGACTGAAAGAATTGGGCTTGTTTAGTTTAGAAAAGAGAAGACTGAGAGGGGATATAACAGTTTTCAAGTTTCTAAAAGGGTGTTATAAGGAGGAGGGAGAAAAATTGTTCTCCTTGGCCTCAGAGGATAGGACAAGAAGAAATGGGCTTAAATTGCACCAAGGGAGGTTTAGATTGCACATTAGGAAAAACTTCCTGTCAGAATGGTTAAACACTGGAATAAATTGCCTGGCAAGGTTGTGGCATTTTCATCACTGGAGATATTTAAGAGCAGGTTGACAGACATCTATCAGGCATGATCTAGAGTAGACAGTGATTGGTCCTGCCGTGTGGCCAGGGGACTGGACTTGACCTCTCGAGGTCCCTTCCAGTTCTAGGATTCTAACAGAGCAATGGTAAAATGCCCACTGACTTCAGTGGGATAGGATTTCATATATTAAAATGGTGTGGTCAGTATGGAGGCCAATGTGGTGTCTAAGGCATGGTCTACACTAGGGGATGAGTTCATATTAAGATAAGCTACACAATTAACATAGCTGAAGTTACGTAAGTCAAAGTATCTTAACTCAAATTCTGGCACCATCCCCACTGCAGGAAGTCGATAGGAGCACACTCTCCCTTTGACCTCCCTTACTCCTCGTAGAAGCAGGCATCGACGGGAGCACCCTCTCAGTTAAAATTAGTGTGTCTTCACTAGACCTGCTAATTCAAACCTTGGAAGATTGACTGTGGCTGCTTCGATATTATCTGTAGTGTAGACATGGCCTAGGTGACTACAATTTTTTTACAGTAATAGCAATTGTTTTGACTTGATAAACATGGCACTAACGTCAGTTGTATCATTTAATCTTTCTCTTACAAAGAAATGAGAGAAAGGGAAATTGCTTGTGCTGTTAGATGGTTGGTTTTATATTATCCTCTTTAAATTTTGAAGCTCACACCTTACGGAGTTGAATATGGTGGGGAAAGGGCGAGTTCCTGTATTTTCTGTTCTTTTTACTTGACTGGAGATCATTTTCTGCAAAACAGATTTGTAGGGTAGCAGCACATATGTTTACACTGCGGAAGATTGTTTTTTATTACAAAAATGTAGGTCAAGACTTCCAAAAGTGGCTGATGGTTACAGGTGCCTCAGTTGAGTGTCCAACTTGGGAGACCTTGAAGGAACCTGGTTTTCAGAGAATGGGTGCTTAACACTGTCTGAAAATCAGGCTGCTACACATGTCTTAAGCTGAGCACCTGGAGGCACCATGCTACACGTCTTAAGCTGAGCACTTGGAGACACATGTCTTAAGCTGAGCACCTGGAGTCACTTCTGAAAAGCTTGGCCTCAGCTTACATGGCAAATACAAAATATGCAATTAGAATGGCAGGAATATTGTAGAAAGGAAAATTTCAAAGAGCCTTTAACCTACCAGAATCCCAATTTTTTTTAAAAAAAATTGCCCTTGCAATTTTGTTTGTCAGTATTTTTGGAGGATTTTGCTGTGTATTTTTCCATGAGACATTTTCAATTTATGTCATCTATGTTGTCTCAGTACTAGCCAGAGAGACACAATCACACTCACTGTCGGAGCAGCCAGGCACATGTACAGTGATGACAAAAATAAGACAGGACTCGGCTATGCCAAAATTCTGAGCAGACAGTATGGTCAGAAGTCATTTTGCAGTTGTTTATTTTAAAAATATGTCCCTGCAAACCAAGGAAGGTTTTGAGTTTTGGACAGCTGATTTTGCTGCTGCCATGTCCAGAAAAGGGTATTTAAGAGCGGTGGGAGGTATTTTTGTTAATTTTCCCAGAGCTCCAAAATGACACATGATTTAGTTCATACTTTTTCAAATAAAATAAAAACTCACTCCAGACCTAGCATGGAAAATTGCAGCTCAAATAGTGAATGTTTCAGGAATCACTGAGTGTATGAAAATCAAGAGTTAAGATTGCAAAGTACTTTCTATACTAACTGTAGCAATTGCTGCTAGATGCTTGCAGCACTGCATTATGGGCCAGATTCTAAGTTGCCATTAACTGATCTACCTACAGTATCATAGGTACAACATTAGATTGAAGACCTATCTTAGGTCACATGCTCTTACATAATTTATGTAATTCACTTTGGAGGTCCCGCCCTTTTTTCACGTATCAAATCAAACTGGCTTCATTGACTATTTTTGAAAGTTGATCAAAAGTCTACTGAAGTCAATGAAAAGACTCATTGTCTTCTGTGAGCTGTGGTCAGTCGCTCAAACAGTTGAGTTAATGTTTTTCATGTTGTCCTTAGTATTTTGCCCTAACATTCAAAATAAGATTTTCAAAGGAAACTAAGGGTGTTAGGTGCCTACAATCTCAATAAGATTTAACTCCCTTGAAAATCTAAGTTGGGAGTCAGTGCTCAATGAGTACTTAGTTAATACATTTCCCCAGCCTTTCTGAAAAGTGTCAGAAATTCTTTCCCCCAGCGCTCTCTTCCTGGGATCTATTCTGCTTCTTCAGGATGTGTTGCCAAATTTGATTCTAAAGAATCAAGCATTCAAGATCAGCATTGGATCATAAGAGCTTTAGAGAACTGAGGTATATATCCATGGTTGCAGCCTTGCTCTTTATTTCAGATGAGTATCACCCTTGTAGGGAGCATGTTTTAAAGTGAAGAATCCTTAAAGCTTGTCAAATTGTGTTCCTGAATGTGCTGCAGTAGGATCTCTCCTCTTCTGTTAATGACATGAAGCAAGTGTCTAAGTCCTTGGTATCCACCCTGGCTTTCCCAGAATTCCTGATCCGTGTAGAGTGACTTCAGAAGCATGTTCTGTAAACATCCCGATTTGAGCACAGTCACAGCTGTCTCAGGAAACCTGATAAAGACAATCAGAACAGAGGGGGGAAAAAAGGATTTGGAAAGGTAAAAATCATACAACTAAGGGGCTAGAGCAGCAGAATAGTGTTTACTCCATTTCTCTCTGTGTTGCTGGAAGTAGTCCTATTTTATGCATAGCAGACAACATTGGTGTGGTGCTAACTATTTTTCTTGGCTGCAGAGGTATAGAAAGCTATAACAGTTTAATAAGCACAGAATGAGAAATCTGGCCCTTGCCCAAAATATTTAAATTTGGATTAATGCTTCAGTGTTTGGGGGTATTTGGAGCCTCATTTTAGGTCTATGTCCAGTTTTAGCAAGGAGGCAAAAGAGCAATTCAGTATGAAAAATATACCCTGATATTAAAGGGCTATGCTTTAGGGGGGGACATAAGAACACAAGAATGGCCATACTGGGTCAGACCAAATGTCCAGCTAGCCCAGTAGCCTGTCTGCCGATAGTGGCCAAC